TTTATAAACTTTTAAATACATTTTTATACTAAAAAATCTACAAATGTAAGTAATTAGTACACCTTACAAACATTTCATAACTTCTATTGATACATTATTTATATTTCATACAAAAACTTTTATAATATATAATATATAATATATTTTTATAAATCATAAATTAATTAATTCATTTCAAAAAAAAAAAAAAATTGAATGCCACAAAAATAGAGTATATTATACATAAAGACAATATCAATCAATTTTCACTAACGGCCCGTTTGGTTCTCGAAAAATATTTGAGGAAAAATGGAATTGAAATTCCATGGAAAATAAAATTACCGGGAAAATTAATTACATTGTTTGATTGGTGGAAAATAAATTACTGAGAATATTGATTCCATTGTTTGGTTGGGTTTGGAATTGTAAGGAATAATGAATATAAAGACAATTATACCCCTACACAATAATAACACTAATAATAATAATGGTACTTAAGAAAAATTGGTGAAAGCATAATTGTCCTACTTGTTTCCCATGGAAAACAAAATACCAAGGAAGAGTTGATTGCAATATATTTCTCAAACAAATAAATGTCCGAAGTATATCTATCCACAGGGAAGTGGGCGTATCAAGCATTAGTTACTAATTTATTCTTGTGAAGCTAATCTTAACGAAAATCATGAATGGTTGATTAATTATAAAACTAATTCAAAGAGTAAAGTAGCATGTTTGTGAAAACAATAGAAAGAGTGTGAGATACCTGAGATTCAAATATTTAATCACATAGTGTCAATTTTAAGAACAATATTAAATCTGAGTTTAAAAAAGTGTGAGAATGCAAACAAGGGAAAGAGTTACTCCCGTAATCTCTAACCTAAATGAATATTCACCCCGTGATATAAACACCCAACAATGAAATAACAAGCATTCAATATAAACTCTTAACTAATACCATCTCCCGATGTGCAATACCTAAGAATTAACTCCCTAACATATATGCTCTCTCCCAAGGTGCAATTGTGGGTGCTCTTAATTATACCCTAACTCCCGTTAAGACATAAAGACAGATGTGAAACAAGTAATTATGACCACTAACTACTAGCATCAACAATATGAAATCACAATTGCAACACAAGTATAAAACCCAAATATCAATATATTAAAGAAATCTGAGAACTAGGCACATAGGTTCATAAACACTTTTACTCAAGAATCTCTAAGGGTATTTAGCCAAGCATGGCTAAAATATTCATAGCAATAATATAAAGAGTTTACAAGCAATCAAAGAAAGTAAAAGAATAGACCAAGAAATTCTCTCAAATCTTCCTAACTTTTCTTCTTTCTTCCAAATGAAACTTGTAGCTCTTGATCTCTCTTTCTTGTCTCCAAAACGCAGCTTGAGAGTCTTCTAGGGTTGAGGAAGGTGGGATTTTATAGCGGGAGCCAAGCGAGGGGCAAAATAGGAAAGTTCCACACAAAAAATTCCAAAATCTCGCCCAGCCCAATCGACGTCTCGACGTGTCGAGTTTGACGTCGTATTTCGACACGCCTCGACTGGACGTTTCGTTGAGACATCACTCGACGCATCGAGTCTTCGGCTGGAACCTTGGAACACCTACTAGAATTTCTCAACGCGTCAAGAACCCTTCTTGACGCGTCGAATCTTCTGTTTCAGCACTCCAACTCTGTTTTGACTCCAAACTTGTCCTAGAATTTTCCTTGCTTTTGCAATTGATCTATAATGGTTCCAAACCACTAACAAACACTGTAAAACATTCAAATCAAGTGTAAAATCATATCTAAATGAGAAAACAGGGGAATATGCATTTAAAACAACATTTTCATGAACTTAAACCCAATAAATAGATTCACACTAACACTAGAAGCATGTACAATTAAGCTCACATCAAGAGCGTGGAAAATGTTTTCCTCATTCGTGAGGGAAATGTTTTCCATGAACTAAACAAAGGAAAAGCCAGTTTTCCTCAAATTCAAGGAAAACATTTTCCAGCGAAGAAAACATGCCCAAAATGATATAGAGTGTATGAAACAAATAATAATACTATGAACTCACATTTAATTTGGACCATATGAACATTATCCAATCATAACGATCTTATAATGACATATTTAGAAACATATACGTCTTTGATTTTGTGTTCAACCATTCCATGTCCTTAAAACAAGTATCAATATCCAAATTTGGAAGTTCCTTAATAGCATCCCAATAACCATTCTCTTTTTCTTTTTTATGCACCAAATTGTGGATATTAATAATAATTGAATCAACAATATTAGGTAATTTTTCTAACACATTAAATCGATTTGTTTCATCAGTTGAGCTACTATTTCCTTCATATTTGGTCATATTCTTCTTTTTTATTCTTAGAATACTTTTTTGAAGTTGCTTCCACATTTATCTGTTGAGGTTCTGATGAAGTATATTGTGAGAATTGTGGATCTTGGCTATCTACCTATACATTGTATTGTGTAAATTAAATCCATCGTTAACAAAATCAAATTATAGTTAATCAAATCTATATTGATTATCTTCTTCAATACCATAGCTTCTTGCATCAATTTCATTAACCAACCCGTTAGAGTTTTTTCCTATGGCAGTAATACTTCTAAATACAAATTTTATTACTGCGAACAATGACAAAGTCTTGTTCTACGTTGTTTGCACCAACGAATTTTTGGTATGATTTTTTTTAGATATATGTGAACATAAAAATAAAAAATAAAATTCAAAAGTATATGACTATTGATGAAACGTACTGTAAAACTCTGGAGAGAAATTAAAGTTGAAAAGTTTGGGATTGGAGGACTGGATTTCAACTATTTATATTTATGAAGAAAATGACTACAGAAAACTTAGTATGATAAAATCTATAAAAGTTAATAAATTTTTTAATACGAGTAGACTTTTAAAAACTCTATCAAAGTCTTAAACAAATACCAACAAACTTTTAAAGATTTTAAATCAAATACTACTAAACTTTTAAAATCTTTAAAAGTATTTAAATTTTAATAAAAATTTGGATGTAATAATACACCCCGCTTTATCTGGCAAATTGAGGTGAGTGATATCCAATAATAATATGAACCTTATTGGACTCAAATTTTATGGCTATATGATCCTTTGGAGAAATAGAATTCCTTTTTGGTCCAACATGTGCCAATAAAAAATACAGAACAAATGTGCTACGTAATTAATATTTTGACGATTAATTTCGTACCAATTTCACATAAATTATAGCAACACAACCAATTAATGATGACTAATCTACATATGGCAAATTATATCGTCCACCAGGGCGAACAATGCATTGTGCATCCTTGCTCAAAATGACGTCGTTTTGTATTCTCTTTTTTTTTTTTTAGAAATTTCGTTTTCCGTGTCTGCTGTTAACTTCTTAAAAAAATCTCATGTTTTGAATATACATAATTGTATAATAAAATGTACATAATTGTATAAAAGAATACACAAACTCTTTCGCGTCAACTCCCCACACAACTTAACAAAACGACGTCGTTTTGGACAGAGCGAGACGCACAATGCATTGTACGCCCTGATGCACGATATAACGATTATGTACATATCATAGCCAATTAGCCATAACATATCCAGTACAAGGCCATGTTGCTTAACCTCAATCGAATCATCAAGGCCCAACCATCTCGGAGGCAGATAATGTTATAAGGTTATTCTTATCCCTGCAAATCTCTTTCACATTTAAAAATTAATCTCACTTCCATATCACTTAATTTGCAAATCATTTATTATTCACACTACATCCTTGCAAATCCAATCAACTTTCAAAAGTGGACCCCAATATATAAAAATAACATTATTAATCTATATCAATTACATTTAAATATTAAAAAGTAAAGAAACAATTTTTTTTTTAAAGTACAAAACTTGCGGCAGCTTTTGTACTGGATTGCAAATTTGCAATCCAAATAAGCAAATAAAAAAATATAAATATTGTGGCAAATGCCACATCACTTAACAAAAGGGTATGGGTTGAGTACAGCCTAATGTTCCAAAGCTAGTTGATGGCAAGGATGTTAACACATTACACATATAGCTTGTTCCACAACAATACAGATATGTTAAATTTCTTTTTCTAGACAGTATAGTATGCACACAAATAGTTAACCTGAGAGGCATAATTGAATGAAAGGAACTCATTCATTTTTATTAATCAAATGTTAATAGTTTAATTCTTAATTTTAGGTATGAAACAACTATTAATCGCTGTGTTACGCTAACAACCTACATAATTAATCATAACGGGTTATGTCATGTAAAATTTTTAGGAGATAGTGAGTAACTGAGTATCTAAGTTATTCTCAAAAAAAAAAAAAAAAAAAAAAATGAGTATCTAAAAGTCTATGTGTCTTTCCCGGTAGTAACATAGCATGTGACGCCGTAACATGAAAGGGCAGTGCTGTCATTTTCAGTCTGATTATCATGTGACTTCCTCATCATCTGTGTTTGCCCTAATTTCTTGTCAGCACTACTCACAGTCTCGAATTGAATTTACCAGTACTAGCAGCTTTAATGCTGCAGATTAACTACAACCTAGAATACTATACACTCGCCCTTCCATTTATTTCCATTTTTTGTTGTTGCATTAGAATCCAACCAACACTAGATTCCGCTGTTTCAATGGACAAAGTAATTACTCCGTACTAATTATGCAGAGTTTATGAATTTCTGGATATGTTAGAATCTGATACCATACTTAGGATTAAGTGCTTACCAATTACGTCAAAAGGTAAACGCTTATATACCGCCGTTATCATATTGTTTTCAGATACTGGGTGTTAGATTTTGCCCTAAGTCTTTTATCGCTCCGCCTAATAAGATGTTTGACTTTGTGGACTGTAAATTTGTTGGAGCAAAGACCTGAAGGGACAAATGCAGCATCTAGTTTTTCGAAAATGTGACGATACACAAAAATAAAGTTATACCCTTTTTTACAGACTATAACTTTTACTAGTAATGAGCGTTTGATTCTAACAGTAATGTAGTCGTATTTCATGAGATTCAAGAAAATTTTACAGGAATTCCGGGCTCAACTGCAATATACATGATAGGTGCTAAAGGAAAGATTAAAATCTTTGTGATACTATATGATTGATGACTACTAGTTGAATCTTGGGAATTAGTACTCACCTGAACTACCCACCCATTGCATTTCTTGAAAGCAAAACGGCAGAAACTAAAACACCCACCCCAACCCCCAAGAAAGAAAGAACGAAAGAAAGAAAGAATCTTTTTGTTGCTTTTTTTTTTTCTGTTTTCCGAGACTTTTCGGGATTCTGAGAAGAGGACAAGGCTACCTACGATAGAGGATTCTGGGTATTCTGGGTGCCGGAGTTGTTGGAAGACCCGTAAATATCAATCAACTTCTGCAAAACCAAGACTTGGGTTCTGAGAAGAACGATGTAGTCGGCGGTTTCTTGGAACAGCTGGTCGGATTTAATCTCTTCATCGTGGGAGGGAATGAGTTGCTTGAGAGCCTCCAGCTTGTCTGAAACTGAATCTCCGGTGCCGGGGAGGAGGGGCCGTTGGCTCTTGTGATGGTGGAGCTCGCAGATTCTCCTCCGTGAGCCGGATCTTCTTCCGCTCTTTCTCATCGGTAGGCCGCCGGAGGGTGGCGTCGACGTTGACCCCATTTTGCGATTTGGGCGGTGGAAGAGAAAAGCGTTACGTTGCGAGCGAGCGAGCTGAGAATTTGGAAGAGAGGAGACAGCGGCGTTAAATTTGAGGGCCGGTGTGAATCTGTAACGGGGAACGCCTTACGGACACCGGGTTTAAGTAAAGGAGACTCCGAGAACTGCCACTTGTTTCTTCCCAAATTACAAATATGCCATTATAACCAGTGTTGGGCGGAGACTCGTGAAAGGTCAAGTTCAACACCAAGTAACTAACAAATTTAACGAGGACCATGAAATAAATACGGAATATAATTCTAATTACACTTTAGTTTCATCTGATAATGTTGTTTTATTTTTCAATTTCATTTTTCACGGTCACTAGTTTTATTATAGTAATACAGTTTTTCAATCAATTGGCGGAGGTCTATTAAGGGCCAAAGTTCAGCACTAGGTAACTAGGGATTTCTTGACGGAGACCTTTGAAGGGTCAGGTTGAGCACTTTATCTATGAAAAAATATTACGAGTAAATTTGGCATATATAAAAAATTAAAATTGTGTCATCATTACTACTAACTATACCTTTTTGACATAATAATAATAAGTGATTGATATAATTACCGGGTTTTCCATTTATGTAATTAAGATTAATTTTTTTTAAAAAAAAAAAGTGCAGTAATATCCAATAGACAAAGAAACAAAACAGTGTAGGCTGTAGTTCTCGTTATTTTTGAGAAATCCAAAAATGCTCCCCACAAAATTAATGGTCCAGATCATCTTGGTCCTTTACATCTCTCCATACAATAATGAAGTTTGGCCGCCCCAGTTGGGGGGGACAATGCTCCTAGATATTTGAGATGGGAAGATTATGGATTCATGGGCAATCTTGTAACTTCACACGCTAAACGACACCCCCGTTTTCGTATACCACTTTATAGCGGGAAGATGGACAGGCCTGAGAAAGCCTTCCCAATCTGCAACGGCACGTGTTTACACTTTGCTACTTGCAGCAAAATTCCCAAAATACACACACCCCGTAACAATTAATTACGGACCCACTATTTATTACGGTGTCCGTGTATCTATTTTCTTTTGTTTTGGTCTCTCTCAATTATAACCACATTTTTCACGTCCTTTTATTATCATTATTATTATTATGGCATTTTAGTATTTATTTATTCACTTCTTTTATTTCACTCTCATTCTAATAAAACGCAAGAAATAAGAATGTTTAAAAAAAAAAAAACAAAAAAGAAATAGGAAGGGTGAAATTGAGAGAAGCTAGCGGTATGGGTCCGTAAAAGGGTGCAAGTGAAAGTGGTATGGGGGCCAGCAAAGCATCATGTATCTATCTATCTCCGATGAGAGAAGTTTTTATATATGAATATTACGTACGCTGTGAATAATATAGTGTAGGGTAGCATTCAGAGAAAAAATCACATGGGAAAGCACATGCACCAACGAGCTCGGCCTACCGCCTACATAACACACCCAACCCAAGTCTATCGTCCACTACAAGTACTATGCTTACATGCTTATATATATATATATATATATACTAGTTTTACGCACGCATTGCGCGAATAAGTTAATGTTCAATGTTTATAATTAAATAAATATTTAAAAGTATATCAAACAAGATTATATATGAGAAGTTCATACATAAATAATTTATTGTTAAATTTGTTTATTTAAATAGGTAACTCATAGTATATATGAATACAATATAATTGTTTTTTTTATTTTATTTCTTTTATTAACTTCTTATTATTATTATTATTATTATTATTATTATTATTATTATTATTATTATTATTATTATTATTGTTTTAAAAACTATTATTATTATTATGTATATCCTTAATTAGATCGTTTTACATGTTAATCTAAACAACTAATTTTTTTTTTAAATATCTTTTTACCACGTTGATATAATTCGCTAGTCAAATCCGCTAACACTAATCGCTAACTGCTGATTGTCAAACAAGGACATTGTGAGGTGGTTTCCAATTCAATTTGTTGTGTGATTTGATTACTCTCTTTATTGTGTGTGTGCGCGCTTTAATCTTATAGGAACTATCTTAAAATGAGTACTTAAGAACCAATTGTGGCCTTCCAACTTTTAAGATGCATGGATGAGATTTATTTTGATTAAAAAGGCCAAAATTGTTTATTTTGGGGTGAAAAATATTTTCGCCATATTATTTAGGGGTAAAATAGAGATGCTTTTTTTTTAATTATTGATTTTCCGTTTCAAACCCTCTTACCTCCTTCACATAATGCACACCCCCACGAACCCCCCCCCCCCCCCCCCCCTATGCAAAAACATGACTGGAATGCCATGATTGCACTACCACACAGATACGCACACACAGTGACCCTTAAAACGCACAGACAACCTAGATAGAATGCATCATTCATAAACCACACATACCGTGAACCTTAAAATGCACAAAACAACTAGTCCATCCTACACAGTCCAAACAAATACGCAAACAACGTGATTCTGAAATGCACATCCCACCCTAACAACATAGCATTTAGACAGTTCAAAATAATTCTCAATGTATAAACACATTAAACGTCAACCGTGTTAGGAAACCCAACAATTGATGAAGCCATTGTAAGTGAAAAGGGAGAGCGTGCAAGAGAGATACGGACTGTGGTACGTAGAACGTAACCGATAAAAGAGAACCCATAAAAACACTCATAATCTTCCTAAAATAAAACTCCTAAAATCATGCAAATATCCCATAGGAAAAAAAAAGTCAAAATAAATGACATCCAAAATTCTCAAACCCCCGGGCCCCAATAAATAAGAAAGAATAAAAATATGAAAAATCCCCCTCATCAACTCAAAATGGATTAAAAGGACAAGATGATTTCTTATAGCTAGACATATGAGAAACATAATTGTTATGTGATTAAAATCTCACACACACACACACACACACACACACACACACACACATATATATATATATATATATATATATATATATATATATATATATATATATATATATATATATATATATAGTTATTTGGTGATGTTTCTATTAGAACCAACCTTTGATTAGTTAATGAAAATCAATTTAGTACATTATAATGCCTGTGTGCATATGGAGCATTATGCTGTGTGCATATTAAGTATGTGTTGTGTGCAACATAAGGACATACTTAATATGCACACATCATAATGTTTCATATATATACGCGTGTTTTTTATTTTCTCAATTAATCTATTCATATATCTATGTTTTTGGTCTTTCAAATTGATTTTGATGAACTTATGGAGAGATTGGTTCTCATATGATCCGTAATTTATAGTTATATATATAAAGATTGAAAGGGAGAGAGAGAGAGAAAGAAGAGAATTGAGGTGTACATATGGTAGAGATGAGATATTACATGTGACCAATGCCGGTGAGACAACGCAGCAGCATCAAATGTACCGCATGTTCTGCACATTCCCTGCATCCTACTCATCTCGTCCCACCACCCACCTTTTCTCTCTCCCTTTCTAATTTCCTTCTTCCATCATCTTTCCAACTCCCAACTTGTTCCCCATGTATTTCACGTACTTATACTTCACTCATAAATTTTGTTATTTATAAAGCAATTTAATATTATGTCTAACGGTTGGGTCAATACTTATTTAGCCTATTGAGTTAATCATTCTATCATCATCCCATAAATTATACATACTTCTATAGTGTACACGTGTCCTATCTGGCTATCTGACAAAACAACGATTATACTATCAAGTCTAAACTAGTGATAATTAGATACGGGTTCAATTTCTAGTAGTCAATCAAAATTGATTAAAGTTGCAATGTCTCTACATTTCAGAATTTAAGATTTTCATTTCATCCATACAACTAGATCTTTTAAGATGGAAGTGGTTTCCCAATCTTAATCCACTTTTCTTTTGATAACATGCATGAAGCATGTTTAGACAATCTAAAAGCGAGAGTTTCCCATAATGAATCTAGCTACTTCCATAATCATTATATATGAATGACAAGATTATTAATTAAAGTATTCTAGTTATCTAGTTCTAATATGGTTCTCCTCTTAATTGTATTAGACTAATCACTCAACGCTAGAGAATTTGATAAATTTTCAACTTATATATATAGTCATAGGTAGATCCAGAGAAGGTTAATGGGGGCACTTGTCCCCCACCCACCCCAGCCTCATTATATATGTGTGTAGTATATACTTTAGTAAAATAAATAACATATTATTATGCACAAAAGTAATTAACAGTTAAAATAATTTAGTTGGTAATTAGTAGTTGTTCCTTTATAAAAGGAACAACTACTAAAGTTTATTTCCAGTTTGCAAAATGCAAATATTCACAATCTTTTATAATTAATTTAGTAGTGCAAACAGATGTATAGAGACAACTATATTATTTAATTTGGTGCTTTCGGTTTGATTCAATGGTGATTATATTGCAGGTTGGACGAAATTGATAAAGAATTTGGGAGGAAATGAATGATATATAGTGTGTTGTTTTGTCGTGTTGTGCAACGTGTAAGTATTGCACGTTATGCCAATTGCATTAAATTGATAAATTATTATGAAAACTGCAATCTTAAATTGTCGACAAAGTTGTCATTCCAACTCAATCCTTCCATACAAATGTAGCCTTTCCCCAACGATTATCTATTAAATATTAAGTTATGGAAAGAGAGGCATGCATTTGGGCAATATATTGGTGAAAACAGATCGACTAAGTTATTATTGTAGATTTGTAGAGGAGGTATTTTATCACAAAAGACCAAATGAAAAGAATGATTCTTCTTTCTATTGGATTATTATGATATTGATGATTGATGAATCAAGATTATTAATTAATCCCAGTCAAATTGGTCAGGCTCTTAGTTTTGTAATAATAAAAAGATTACAAGTTTGATTCTCAATGCAAGTGACATATTAACTTTCTTAATTTAAGCGACTGATCAGTTATGAGAACATAATTTTTTTTTCTTTTTATCCATACCCTCATATCCTATATATAATAAAGCCATATGGTCTTGTGAAAATTAAATGATGATAATCAACATTTAATTTTCACAAGACCATAATAATATTGTTAATTATAATAACAATAACAATAACAATAATAGTAATAA